TCAGAACATGTACCTCGTGTTGTTTACGAGACATTAAAGTAATGAAAACTGTTAAACAGTCTTCTACAAATCAAAATAGTTGTAAATGCTTACGGGAGGCCCTAACTATATGATGATAAGAAGGGCTATATTTGGAAAGGTGCATGGTCGTGGAGTTAAGGCGATTTGACTAATCAACCAATTTCCCGCTAAACCTGCGCTAAACATAAGGGCGTGGCCAGTGGCCCCAAAAATTGTGTTCGCTCGCCCCGGGCTGGCTCGACTTTTGGGATACGGTTATGGGGTTATAAACAATGAGTTCATCATCTATGTAGCCTACTCGCCCCAAGTGACTGCATTTCGCTTTTCAGAGACCCATCAGTTACTGTATGACCCTCTCCGATCAGATTTTATGTCCGTGGTACTGGTGGTGAGGTCAGTCTACAAGCAGAGTCGTGAAAAACACCGCCACTTGAGCCTTTACGTTCAAAACATTCCTGGCTATCGGTAAAAAAAGAAGGCGCCTTCAAAAATACTAAATAAAATGTCATTTCAAATATCACTTTGTCACCGTTCGAAAATTATTGTGAATCAGACCGAATGAAAGTTCGCTCAAAGAGGGGGAGGGGGGAGGGGGGTTGGTAGTTCTTAACAGTTACAGTTAGCTAGAAAATTAAAAGTTACGAAAAAATAGTGGGCGAACTGCAGAATACATGCACGAATGAGAAAGAAAATAGAAAACAACTTCCTGTTCAAATTCGGGTGAAACTTTTAATAGCGTCAAGAAGACTGAACTTGATTGAGGTTGTTCATTTCAGTTCCGTTCCAGCGTGCAGTTCCTTGTCCTCCTAAAAATAGCTTCGTCTCCCACCGATCATTCCGGGCGCGATCCATTCAACCAAACTTTCCGGAAATTTCGGTCCAAAACTCAATGGATCGGTTCGGTCCAACCGGAAAAGTTTCGAAAAAACGGGTCCACCTTTTGAGGTGGTCCTCTTTTCCCGGTCGGACCGGTTGGAATTTTGGTTGAATGGATCGCGCCCTCCATGTCATATTTTGCGGACTCGGACTTATTATTCAGTAATGACGGTACGATCAGGTAATTTGACTTGATGAGTTCTTTAATTTCATTTCATGTACTAGTTTTATATCTTACGCTGGAAAGATCTGCCAAACAGTGTACATTAGCAAAGGTAGGTTCCTGTTTACACGTGTAATTATCGAATACCATACAATTTGCATAAAGCTACAGTGCACGGTTGGTTTTTCTAGCCTTTTGATTAAAATTGACAACGTTTGCGTTATCTTTGCCTAAGAAAATATGTAATTTGTAGCTGTATACAGCGAAATACTACAGAGAAAATTGTAACTGTGCAGTACACGAGCGGCTCCCGATTGGTCTGGGAAATCGAAGAGCGACTTTGAGCTAGTGCCGTGTGTAACAAAATTTATAATTTTCATTTTAGCGCATATTTCAAGCTCTTCGCAAGATCAGAATCAAAAGATCATCTGTTTACATTACAAGGGAGGGTTTTTTTAAGCGATAGAGAGGGTTTAAGAGGCACGATCAATTTTTAAAGAATTTTCTTTTCAAATATTCACCGAATTTTGTTTTGAAGTTTTAGCGGCCAAGTGGCTGAACCACTGCGCATTCATGCAATCATATTTCTGTTCCGTTGCATTTGCCCAATTATTTTATTCAACAATCTAACTTAGCTATAAACAAACTATGTTTACTTAAAATGGCTTAGTCTAAATCGATGTGGCATGGGTGATATTGGCCTTCCAATTTCTACCAAATTTGTGTACCGTTTAAGTACCGAAAAAGTGCTGTGAGAAGTTATAGCCGTTCGTAGCTCAGGCTTAACCATTTTCAGATAAGAGTAGGTAAATGAAAGGAGGAAGGATAGTTCTTTGCAACTGTATGAGTCACGATTACGTTATTTTAATGATAAGGCTAGAATTAATTACTGTAAATCTCCTTCAGTTCACCAACATGGCGGCCGCTCGAGGCCTCGTCAAAACTGTCATTCCTGTATCTTTGAAACCAACGAGAATTCGAACCTTAGAATATGCATTCAGCATTTAGGACACCATTCTAAGACTACATGCCAAAAATCAGCCAAATCGATGAGGTACCGTGTCAGGCCGAAGTTCGAATTTTACAGAAAATCACACTTAATGTCAGGTCCCTCGGCAAACCAGTTAGTCATGTTGTTTTCCCTCGAGTCCTGATGTTTCCCTCGACCTCGTCTCAGGAAACATCAGGACTCTCGGGAAAACAAAACTAACTGTTTCCCTCGGGATCTGACATTAAGTGTATAATATGATTTAGTATATAATGGTAATTGAACTGAGTGAAGTGCAATTTGGTCTGATATTATACGTGTGATTTCTTTGAAATCACAAGTATATGATTTCAGACCAAAATTGCACGACACGAAGTTCAATTACTACTTTATTACTTCCATTTTGAAATCGCAGAATTTAGTCCGTACTAATATTTTATTGATCAAGTAGCCGGTTTGTTAAAAAGGCGAAACAGAAAGGTTTTTACATCTCACTTTGTATTCCAAACAGAAATGATGCGATATAGAACAAAAATGGTGCGATTTAAAACAGAAATGATGCGATTTAGAACATGAATGACGCGATTTGGAACAGATGCGATTTAGAACAAAAAATGGTGCGATTTAGGAATAAATCACACCGCTGAGAGCCAATCAGATTGCACGGATAGCCAGTGATTTCAAAGCGGATGTAATAAATACTAAAACAGTGGATAGTGTTTTTCGTGCGCTCTGATTGGCTACTCAATCAGTGAATATCCTGCACTATTCACTGATTCACCTCCAGTTCCTCCGAGCGAGCGACGCCAAACTCGCGTAGGTTGCGAGCAAAATGCCTTCACGGCTTGCTGCCGTGATAAACTAAGAAATTTCACAACTAATCAAGCAAGCTATTTCCGAAATACATGAAGAAGGTGACGAAGTTCGGTTTGGAAGTTTTAACAAGTAAAGCTTTGTCTTTTTGACTTGAATTTATCGATAAAACCGGTGAAAAAGTTTTTTGTTTACAAATGCAAATTAAGCTTGAGTCTTGCGTTACTTTATTTAGTTGACTTGTTCATAAATAAGCTTAAAACTAAATTTAATAATCTTTTTTACAGAATTATTTTAAATACAAAAAGAATTCACAACTCCTTTTGAAGAAACTCCCCCGCAAGAGTTAAACAAACGCCTTCAAAAGTCTTATTTGTCGTTAAGGAAAAGCGACGACCGCGGCCGTTGGTCATGGCGCGCCAAAATTGTAATCGTTGGCAACAGTAAATGAGTTAAAAATCATCATTTTTTGTGCTCAATTATCTCACTGTTTTAGTATTTACTAAAACAATTATTCACCTCAGTGTCGGTGGCTAGTAGTGGTTATTTACCTCGCCGCTTCGCGGCCTCGGTAAATATCCAATACTAGCCACCTCCGCTTCGGTGAATAATTGTTATATATTATAAAATAACTAAGATAGTACGCGCGCTCTGATTGGCTGAGAGGAGTGTTTGCATGAGAGTATGTAAACATGGTTGTGGCGTCAAGATGTTTTGCTTTTCACGCAAGCACGAATTTGAAAAAGTTTTCGAGTTCAAAAATCGACAAGTTGACTTTATTTACCCATTCCTTTGTCGGCTGAAACTTGGAAAATCGTTACAAAGAAAGTGTGTCAATTTTTTTTTCGCTTAAGCTGACATTTTAAGCGAGAAGAGTACGTATTTTGGAAAGCATCTTCTTGCAAAACAAGAACTAATTACGCAGGGGCGGATCTAGGGGGAGGGTGACCTGCGGTTTTCTAATACAGCTGGTATTCTGCAAAAAAAGAAAAACTATGTGGTTTATTGGTGTTGAAGTAGAGCAAGAGACGAGTACACCCCCTCCTAAAAAAAATCCTGGATCCGCCCCTGTTATGCGTGCAAGACTTCGTGGACAAGACTTTGCGACTGGTAAGAATTTCTCATTTAATCGGTGCCATACAAAGAGTTTTGCGTTTTCTCTCGGGAAATTTATTTTATAAAAGCAATAGAAAACTTTTTTCCTGTGTTTGCATAGCCTGATATAAACACTCGAGGCATTGGGAGAATTCTCGACAGTTATGCAAACCCTCGACTTCGTCTCGGGTTTGCTTAACTTTCTCGAATTCTCCCAACCCCTCTCGTGTTTATATCAGGCTATGCAAACACGAAAAACGTTTTCTATTGCTTAATTAGTAAAATCCAGCTAGTGGTCTATTATCAATGCTGCGTTCTGATTGGTTGAGCTACTACCAGGCTATATGTTATAGCCTACCAGTGGCGAAAAGCGCGCGCTTTTTGGCGGCAAAAAAGGATTAAAGTCTAGTTGGATTTTACTAAAACACTTATTCCTCTCGCCCTCATGGCCTCTAAGTCAATAGCCCATGAGGCCGACTTAGAGCCCATTCGGGCTCGAGGAATAATCGTTAAATACATATGTATATGGCTACAATAGTACGCGCGCTCTGATTGGCTGTTTTCTTGTGATGACCCGGCATTACTGGCTAGGTGTCCAAAGCAAATTCAGTCTGTTCTAATATTATTCTGTGGACATCCATGTTATGGTCGTGACTGACAGCTGTCGAAAAGGGTATCCGCTGACCAGTGTCACTTGACTGTATCGCGTCCTCAAGTGTACAACTCATTGAGGTGTCGTGTTTTTTAAAGTTATTCGCTGACCAGTTGTTGGTTTTAAGTGATGGCAGGCTCAGGTCCTTAATGAAAAGGCGTGATATAATAAATAACTTATTAACCTCCTCCGTTCGGTCATTAAGGGGAAATCTCCGACCTCGGCCTCGATGTATTGACCGAGCGATAGCGAGATCAATACATCAAGGCCTTGGTCCAAGATTTCCCTGTATTGACCTCACTCTCGGTTAATATAAGGAGTACATAATATAATACATGTATAATGAAATATATTGATATAGAATAAATAAATACAAGTTTACCTAAACTAAACTACCTGCTGTCAATACTACAGATACTCTCTATTCGCTTCCCAGTGAAGGAGTATTCCCAGTGTGGGGTCCCATACAATGTACGTAGTAGAGACCTGTTGCGGTGACCTGTAACAGCCACCTTAATCGCGTACAATACAAAGAGAAGACTATGCAACATGGACGTACAAAAAAATTCTGATTTGTGTCTTTGGTTGCCTCAACTAATTATTCTGCTGCAGGTACCTGTTCTATAAACATACACACGAAAATTCATGGCGCCTTGGAACATTTCAGTCCTGCGATATTAGCCTATGACTGAACAAGCTGTCCGTTTTGGGGAAGGGGACTAAATAGTGAGTTTACGCAACAGGGGCCGGTTGCTCGAAGCCTGGTTAGCGCTAACCGTTGGTTAAGAGGTATCAAAATGTATAGGTTTCCATGGTATTTAACGCTGGCTAGCACTAACCATGCTTTGAGCAACCCGGGCCTGGACGATAGAAAGAAAAAGACGGCAAAACGTTTGAGTGTGACAAACGTCACGGGGCTATTTAAGGGTACTTGGGTGTTTTGTCGGGATTTCACTTAACACTATAGAAGAGCTTAAACGAACTTGTTTCATAGCTTAATTATGTCCGTATTTACATATACGCAATTGAAGTATGGGTATGCGATTATGAGGGTAACTACCTCTCCAAGATCGCTAAATTATGCAAGCGAGCATGGAAATATGGTCATACCAACAAGTGCATATCCATCACGGATGTGATTCGAGATAGCGATAAACAACTATTGGGGAAAAAGTACGGATACTCAGTGTTTGAAAGATCTTCTACCAAGTAAACGTACTTATCGATCATTTCGTTAACGTGGCCCTGATTAAATGTTATCGCGCATTCATACGGAGCGCTTCGAGCGTTGTTTTGTAAATAGAGACCTTTTTAACTATATTTAGTTTAATGTTTGTAGGGAAACTTGTATTCTTATAAATAATTTCTCTTTTATTGCGATGTAGACTTGCACGCAGCTATAAGTTCTCTAATAGGAGACGGCGAAGGAAAGGGCTGACCCTCGCTCTCCTATTATATTTTCCTATTTCCCCATTTCCCCATTCTCGTCCTCAGAGCCTCCTGGGGGCCTGAGTACGAGGACCAGGAGGCTCTGGGGACACAAGATTTGAAGTCCTAGTGTTTAGGACTTCCGGTCATTTCTGATTTTCTACAACGTTTCTAATAGCGTTCACTTGCTCTTGCAGAAGTTTCAATGACTGTAAATTTAGGTGATCAAAGCTTTTAAAAGAGAATCCTCCAACTTTCTTTTGAATCGGAAATGACCGGAACTTCTAAAATCTAGGACTTCAAATCCTGTGCCCCCAGATCGTCCTCGTCCTCGTGCGCAGGCCCCCAGGAGGCTCTGGGGACGAGAATGATTTTCCCCACCAAGGAACCTGGTCCCAGGCTACTGCGAAATTCCCTGGGGAACTTTTGTTTATTCTGTTGTTGTTGCTATTAAGAAAGAATCCATCGGCAGGAAATTGAGTAATTTTAATTTTCAGTGGACAAAAATATTGTACCATAATTATTTAAAGCGTATTGCATCCTTTTTTTTTTACACTTTTCAGGGGCTATGGATGTAATTAGTTATCTGCTAATACCAAACACAATTTCTTATGCCCGAGAAAATGAATTTCAACCACACAGCTTTTGTGAAAATACCGGTAAAATTTCATTTTTTAAGTTTGAAATTTATTTTCACGGGCCTCCATAAGAAATTTTCTTTAGTATTATTACAAATAGCTAATAGGGAGCTTAAGCAGCGACGTTTTTGAGCGACGCACGTCAACCGGAAGTGAGGTATTTTCCCTCTTAACATGCCTTGATGATATAAAATTTGTATTCCTTAGCTTCTTTACTGTTATAGAGGCGATTTGACTGAAAATTTGCGCGAAACCACCGTCAAAAAATGAAAAAAGGCCACTTCCGGTTGACGTGCGTCGCTCAAAAACGTCGTTGCTTAAGCTCCCTAATAACATCTACAGCCCTTAGAAACTGTAAAAAAAGAAAGAAATATGCTCTAAATTATTATGATACAAAGTTTTTGTCATTGAAAATTAAACTTACTCAGTTCCTGATGGATTTCGTCTTAATTTATTTTGGCGTGTCAAATTTGAACTTCATATCTGCAATGCAACGAGTCTTAAATAATAGGGAGCTTAAACAAAGACGTTTTTGAGCGACGCACGTCAACCGGAAGTAAGGCCTTCTCACTATATATATGCCTTCACTCTAACAAAAATGGAATTGATAAGTTTCTTTTCTCTTATAAAGAGGATTTACCCGAGATTTTCAACCAAACCACTCCCCAATGAAGCAAAAAGTCCACTACCTGTTGACGTCCGTCGCTCAAAAACGCTGCTGCTTAAGCTCCTTATTACCCTCAATGAATCTTAACCTATGAAACAGTGTTCAGGCACCTTAATGATCGCATTTGAAGATTACCTTTATCAAGCCAAGGTCTTTATGATCACTAAGTCCGTTGTAAACACACTGCTTCCAGTTCATGGTGCGGGGCGGTCCCGGAGGCCCCTTAGCTCCTTGATCGCCCTTTGGGCCGGCAGGACCGCCAGGACCTACGGGACCTGGGCCTTGATATACGGTTAGTGTATACGGTTTACCCGGGACTTCTGGAAAGCAGCCTTTCGAAAACTTGTCACAGCCGCACTGAAAGGAGAAGCAACAACTGGCATTAATAACGTTTACAGTCTTTCATTTAGACTTGGTTCCACGTTCAGTCAACGTGGTTTTAAATGATTCTGAATCGCGAAAGAAAGTAAAAATTATATGATTGGAGCATTCAAGTATGGGGCTAAATTGAGGCAAAATCGTTGCAATATAGTCCTACTACTATAAACAAGCAACAACCTCTTTCCTAACTACATGCAGTAAGTCACCGATTTCGACGAGGAATCGATCATCGTCGTAATAATACTGTGCATAGCAGAAGCTGGGAAATATAATATATGCTACCAAAGATAGTTGAATGGACAGCATAATCTTTTTAAAGCACCGAATACCTATCAAATGGATATGAGAAAAAGGTATCAGTTGTTAACGTTGCACTTTAAAATGCGTCATAGAGAAATTACAAGAATCGGCAGGCAAGCGGACATGTTTCATCGTTCACAACTTGGGAATCAAGAACATTACAATTCATATACCAAAAACTAAAACAAAAACAGAAAACAAAAATAAAAGAAACAAAGAAGCCAGTGCGAGAATATAAAGATTGGCAATTGGAATTTTCCCCTGCGGCTCGTACCTCGTATAACTAACTTTAAAAAAAATTAATACATACACGCGGCTTATTTTTTGTTATATAAGAGAAATTTTCAGTGGTCAGAAGTTGTGTGCTGCAACAGTCGGAATGAAACTGCGCAAAATATGACACCATTTTTTTTTTACTGATACTAGTTTTCTTTCCAGTTAGCGCTGGTTGAGTGAAGCGACTTTAGACAGGAACCCATATTAACCTTTTGAGAAAACAACACCCATACTAGGCCTATGTCGCGACGTTTTAGAGGGCCGGTTTATTTTTCGATACATTTTAGCCGGAAAGCACAGTTCATCCGCGAAAATGGAAGCTCTCGGATCATTCTTTGCTAAATAGTTTCCGTCGCTGTGTTTTTTAGGAATATTAACTGGGTTTTTCTGTTTAAATTTTATTAAATTTTATATTGCATCAACACCAAATCAGTTTAACCTCAAAGGTTTTGAGTATAGGTAAACTAAGTATGAAAATTATATTGACCCAGGAACAGATATATCGTACGTCTGATCTGAGCCTCGGCTTGCCATACCGTTCTTTCATCGAGGAGTAAACTGTGCCTCGCGATGAACTACTATGAGCTTATCCTACATTGTTTCGGCCAAACTCCCCTAATAGAGATCTTATTCCATATCTTTTGCCTTTTTGAATAAGAAAATAGGTAATTCACAACGAAGAGAGGTTATAATTTCGTCACGCGCGAAGTGTGTGAGCCGCGCGTGATCTCAGCCAGTTGCAAACTCGGACGCCCCATATTTCGTGAGTACGGTCTACTTCATCCTAGGTATTTCGAGAACGCGACATTGCAACCCTTTTTTAACAACAGTAACCCCATTTAAGTCCCTGAAGATCCTTTTCAAAGCCATAGCACTGGGTTCAAATTTACTCCAAACAAAACGAGGTTAACTGCATCTCACCTTCCAATATTAGAGCCAGTGTTGAAACCTGCCCTCCCCAGTCAGACAATATTCTCTATTTCACTCCCGCCCTCCTTTCCCTGAGAGCTTTGCGAGGTTCTACGATACACGTATTTCTAGTAAATAAGGGTTCACTCACAAACAAGTGTGTGCTTTATTGTTTAACCAAACGACTGCTTGTCGTAGTGAAGTGATCGGAAAGGATTCCGGAAATTGTTGGAAAGTAAGTCAAAATTAGTTGTTTGTTTTGCTACATATTGTCTTCATTTGACGCTCTAGCTTATTAGGGCAAACGCCGACACCAACACTGCACGGCTAGCAGAGAATGGAAATTATTTACTGCCAATAAATAGATGTGTAGAAGCAATAATGGGACAGAGAAAAGAGCTTGTAGCAATTGAATGCCGGCAGAGAATTTTAAAACATCTCGTCATTTTCAATTCGGAGCTTTTGAGTGTTTGAACTTTTGTTCTTGGTAAGCTAAACATCTTTTGACTCATTTTTCAAACGATGTTTGCAATCCCGTGAAACTGAATATTTACTATAAGTAAAAGCCTTTTGCGAGAAACACAAGAAAGTTGATAATTTCACTTGCTGCTGATGCAATTTGCTTTAAAGCTCAGACAAAAATCGCAAAGTAGTCAGTCTGACGTCATTTGGGCGCTACACTTCTGTTCTTTTGCATCGCATCTACGTATTTTATCACTGTGTCACGGTAGGTAAGTACTTTGAAAAATTCAAAACGTTCACTAAACATTGGTCAGCTGATTGTTTACGGGTTGCCATGATGATAGGTAATTTAACTGCGAGAATTTGTAGATGAAAAAAGGAGTCACATTTGGCTTTTTCTCGGGTTTTTAATCGAACTGTCTTCACATTAAGAGGAGTCCCTGTGTTTGCTTGAATTAGACATACAACGGTGGTGTGCACATCGATGAACAAGATGAAGAAATGAAATTTTTAAACTCACTTCAAAAGGCAGCTAACTTACAGTGCGATCATTCAAATTTATACTTAGTGGTTTTGACTCCCCGAAAATACCACAACCAGCACATATATACAAGAACTGAAGGCAAGATTCTTTGAATTTGTATCAGTTGTATTCATCAGTAACCGATTATATGCAGAACAAGATTTCACTAATAATTATTCAAATATTCTGAATTTACAGATTGACATTGCATTTGTAAGTGAAGATGAGGCACACAAGAACAATATCGGTGTTCATTGTCGAAATATATCAAGAACAAAACCTCTCTGTTCAGATCCACAGACGCCTGCAAAGTCTCTTGTGAATGATTAATTTTCAATTTTTCTGGAGTCCCCTGCTCCGTTTTCAGATGTCAGCCTTACAGATTACAGATACTTAACATAGGGGTAAACAAAGAAAGTTTGCTATTATTGGAATATTAATCATAGCCAGCATCTTTATGAAAACTTGAAAAAAGGCAAGTACATGAACACGTTGAGCGGCTTGAGAAACAAGTCCTTTAAAATGCAGAACTTTGCAAACGCACCGTTTACATGGAGAAACCGGAAATTCCAGTTTGAAAATCAAATGGTTCTCTCTATTCCATTGGGCTTACGTTTGAGACGATGCAATTTCTATTCTCTTAGTCCAGTGACTCCGACTGATTTGGAGTATACTTTGTGACAAGAACTTCTTTCATAGGGTCGAATTTAAAACTTTGTTTTGGATTATCAAATTAAATAAGTGTTTTGCAAACTTATAACCTCTAGATCTGTCTGGCATGGTTATGATATCTCCACTGCACTAAACGATTTTCCGTGCTCCTAATACCATGCAGTACAAGGATATTGAAAGCTTTCCCGATTTGTAAAAGAAATTTCTTGTGATTGCCATGAACGAACCTCAAACATTCTTTTTCAGAAACTTGAAAAAGAAAACCTAATTTTCAATTTGACAGGACAATACTTGTTACCCGTAATTTAGCCATAACGCGGCTATGGTCAAGACGGAAAAAAAGCTAACACTAAAGTATTGTTACAAACAAACAAACAATTAATTAATTAAAGGATACAAATCAACACACACTCTACTTTGTATTAATAGTTTTGATGTTAGTTATTGGCAAAAGTTTGTCTTGCAAATCGGCCAACAAGGCACACATGCAATTTAAAATAGGGATTGATCCCTGCTAAAGTTTTGAGAAATTTAGTTTTACTGATTGGAAACATCAATGTAGCTTTCTTTGTTCTCTATAGGAATCTCGAAAAAGGGTTTTCTAAAAGTCATTTTTAAACCGTGTGTATCAAGTGGCGGAAAGAGCTTTGGCTTGAAACACGCAACTTGCAGAAAGCGTTAAAAAATATCTCAGTTTTGAAGAGGCTACGTTGAAATGCGGGACGGGATACATTATACAGGAGCAAAGGGTCAGTAGTGTCCAAAGGTTTAAAATACCATGATTATAGCGTGTACAACTCAAAGTTTTTTTATACTTACCCGTTTACGCCGAAGTCTCAGTCAGTTCACTGGCTGAAAGCAAGGAAAAATACACAAAAACAGATCTAAGAAAGCAATTCTTTACAACATCCAAGGGACTTTGCGGTTTCCAACGCGGAAAAAGTTTTAATTGCACTTCTAAACACTAAACAATCAGTTCCTTCACGTCATTGTCTCTTTGGAGATTGTTCCAAAATTAAAAGCAAATGACGCGATTTATGACGAGCCTCAGTTAAACTGAAAGGATCTTTTTTTTTTCATTTTGCATTGTAATTGATACATTTTGTTCTTTCTAAAGAGCAACAACAAATTTAGCCCGCGGCCATGGCACTTTCGTATTTTCCGCACAGTCATCAGTCATGGCCAATGCTGCAGTAAATATTGCGGAGATACCCAACTCGGTTCTCAGTTCAAATGCCTCAAGACTGCCAGAAAGTAATTCTTTAAACACACCTCTGCCTCCGCATAAAATATCAATAAGCATCTTTTTCAATCGATTCCCCATGCCGGAAGGTTATTTCGTGAGCACTTACGGATCATTTCTACCGCGCGCATTTTGAACTGTTGTTATTGCACCAGCGGCTTGCCAAACTGAACAAGGGAAGCCATATTACCAAACGGTTGTTGAAATGGTCACGCGAGCTATTCGAAAATTCCAATGTAAACGTTCGTTTGTTTTCGGGGTGCTTACTGTTTTACTATAGTGACTTCGGTAGTATATCATGGAACAGCCTACAAGAGATGCACTTTACTACATTCAGATAGTTTTTCAACGTGCAAATAAGTATTAATAGTTTAAAACGACACAGTTTTTCAATGTGCAAACAAGTTTACGACGTTAAAAGGAATTTCGTGGTCTCCCAACGCGGAAAAAGTATTATTAATGAGTAATTATCACTTCTAAACACTTGATTGGGCATATTCATTATGTTGATCGTAGAATTTATTTGCTTGTTTGATTTAAAGGCTTTATCAGTAAGCCTTTTAATTGACATTACCTTTATCTTTCCACAGTTGAAGAAAACAATCGTATTGTAAGAGTTCATTTAATCCTTTTATTGATTTCTCGAAAACTGGTTGCAGTTTTTAATACCTTCCAACTGAAATTGACAAAAAGGTATGTTTTCTGATATTGAAGATGCGGCTTCTAAATAAACACGAAAAAAATTAATTCTACTTCGGCTACTATTCTGGTCATTGTTTCCAAGACTTCATTCACTGCAATTGACAACATGAAAATGAATTGATTTCTTGCCCTTAAGTATGCAAACTTTAGAGTGTAATTCTCCCGGCAAAAACCTCTTTCAAAGAGTAAGACAAGAAAAATAGCTAGCGTCTTTATTGG